ATAAAAATATCAAATGAAAGCCTTCGGAGCTTGATCCTTACATATTGCCTATTGGTCTTATTAAATAATTTTTTGTAGCCACTTACTTTCAAATTTCAATTTTAAAATTATAAAATTCAAATTTAAAATTTAAAATTTAAAATTTTAAACTTCAAAGTTTAATTCTAAGCCTTAAAAGTTTGCAAACACTTAAGTATCAATCACATTGAATAAGAAAAATAAAATTTACTTTAAAAAAAAATTTTACGGCCCGCTAACAACCCGCTAAGCCCAAATCCGAACGGACAAAAAAAAAACCCAAAAAAGTACAGCCCGCTAACTCAGCCCGCTAACAGCCCGCAATGTTAAACGGACATGCTAATTTTTTTTGTGTCCAGCCCGCCCGTTAAACACCCATACTTCCCATCCAACCCTGATCCTTATCCTCATCTATGCTCGAGAACAGAAACTTGGTGGCCCGGCGTTGTAGTTTTTTTAACCCGCCTCAAAATAGACAGGGGCAGTACAATCTAATGAGGTGGTGGAGGGTGAAAGACATTCCCTCGATTTTGCTCACAAAGAAATGGATCAGAATAACGATCCGCCAAAAAGAAGGATGGATTTGGCCTAAAGTTATTTGGTATTTACGGCAAAAATCAATGATAACAGGGTCGAGGGGGCCTAATGTGAAAGGGTAAGTGTACACACTTAAAAACCTTTTCACATGAGTGGTAATATCCTCTTCGGGAGAAGGGACTACCACTTCTTTGTTTCCCCAGTTACAATCTTTTTTCACCTGTTTGAGATATCCCCCGGTTATCGAATACATATACCTCAATATCGGCTCACATCGGCCCGGAACCGAAGAGCCTTTTTCGACCTTAAAATCGGAGGTAAGAACACATGCCGCCGGAATGCGCTCCTCAGGCCGTGGATCCACCAGTGTTTTGTCGGCGGCACATTGGGAAGAAGAAGCTTTTTCTTTTTGGGGGACAGTTTTTGATGTTTTCACCATTTTTGGATTTAAAGAAGGTGACAAAGATTGGGTGGTTTTGAAGAAGGATTTTGTAGAAAAGAATCGCAGATTTGCGAATGAACTCAGAAGATACGAAAAGGAATTTGGAAAATTTGGAAGATTAAAGATGTAAAAGTGATAAATGGTAAAAGAAAGGGCTATTTATAGATTGAAGCAATGGCAGTTCAATATCAGCGGTAGCCGACCACCGTCTGACACACATTAAAATGCTTTGGTAAGTTAAATCGACGGGACATCTATCACGTACATCATGGTCGGGCTCGATGCAAACGTCAGCACATATCCAATCGAGCCATTGAGAAATCATATCATTTCTCACCGCATCCTTCCCGAGAAACGAGGGGACTATCTGTATACAGTCGAAATTGATTTCGGCCTTCGTACGATTGATCGAGATGGGATCATAATGGACCAAAGGAAGACTTCGTAATATCGAGATGAGTTCCGAAGATGGTACGAATGAGCTTCAGATTTCAGGTATAGGTCAAACACCGAGTTTGAAGTCATTATCGAGCTCGGGTCCGAATCGAATTATGATGAGATATTATAGAATCGAGCTTAAGGGGCAAAGGCCAACCGATACCGAGCCCGAGTCATTACTAGATCCCGAGTCGACATCGAGCTCAAGTCCGCATCGAGCTCTAAAAGCAATACTGACCAGCACCGAGTCGGATCAAGCTCGAGCTCACACACAAGAGCCGTTGCAACCGTACTAAGGGAGAGAATCTCGGCGGGAATTAGAAAAAAGCTAATTTATCATGGGTTTCCCACTATGTATTTTTAATTATATCTAAAGTAGGATCCTCCACTATAAAGAGGATGGCTACATTTCTGTAAAAGACAGTTTTTATCTTAAAGTGTACCAAAAATACCATACTCTCCTATATTGAAGGATTATTCTTTTTGGCTTCATAGATTGATTCATATTGCTTAGTCCTTGAATCATCTTCTTTCCAACCTTGTGTATTTTTTATTCTTTACAATCCGTATTTGATAATCTCTATTTATCATTACGATTTGTGTTAAGTTATACCACATATCCTTAGAACTACGTACAAATTTAACTCAATCCATTTTTCGGATAAACATTTTTATCATTTTCTTCACACCAAATGCTTCTCGGACATTTTCTATGAAACTTTGGATAATCTTGAAATTATATATATTCTTTTGAACTGTTAACTGTTAAGCATACATTTTGTACTTGATAAGCTAGGTACCTTTTGATGAGGATATTTAATATTCGATTAATTTCAACAGCTATTTTTTTTCATGAATTGTGATTAAGCATGGAATTCAATACTCTAGCAGAAAACAGCTTACTATGCTCACTTTTTTGCCATAAATACATTTTGCAGGTGGAAGAAGAGAGAACAGCGGTGTTTAATAAAGTGTAAGTCGCATGATTTCATGCAATAATTCTGAAAATTGGACATTAAATATAATTTCAGCAACATGGGATTTGTTATTTGCCTAACATTTTTCTGGGGTCATTCCTTTTATACAATTGCAGGTTTAATGTAGAAGTGGACACGGAGAAACACCATAAGCAAGTAAACGGCAAAACCGTAGCTTACAGCGTCAAATGTGGGATGTTACTAGGGGTGAAACTTGTAAGATGGTGAATTATTTCCTTGTATTTTTAGGAAATTCATAATCCCTATAGATTTAGGAAAACCCATTGTTCTAATAGATTTAGGAAAGAANAAATCCTTGTGTTGATTTTTCTTCTTTATTTGCTTTGTGTGTGATTGTGTGCTAGTTAACCCACGATCTTCCGCAATAATTGGTATCAGAGCAAGGAAGCAAAACTGTTATGAGTGCGGGGAGCAAGGTCACTACAAGAGAGATTGTCCTAAGCTGAAGGAGAAAAGAGGGAAGCAGAAAATAGATAATTTGGCAAATATTGTTGACACTGGCAATAATTCTGATGATAGTGACTATGTAGAGGAAGTCTGTGCTGTGAGTTTTAGTCATGGGCAGAATTCTTGGGTTCTTGATTCTAGTGCTACTTTCCAATGTGTCCACACAAGAATTGGTTTGCAACTTACAAGCAAATGAGTGGGACTGTCTACATGAGAGATGATAATCCATTACCAGTAGAGGGGATTGGTAACATCAAATTGAGAATGTTCGATGGAATTATCAGAAACATTGAATGTTGGCATGTTTCTCGGATAAAGAGAAATTTGATTTCTCTTTCGACTTCGGATGATCAAGGGTATAAATTTCACTCCGAGAATGGAATACTTAAAGTGTGTAAAGGCTCCATGGTACTCATGAAGGGTAAATTGCATTCTAAATTGTATCATCTTCAGGCTAGTATAGTTGAAGGGGAAGCTGTTGTAGCTTCTGGGAAAAGTAATCTGAATCAGTCTCAGTTATGGCACTTGCAACTTGGTCATATGAGTGATAAGGGATTGTCATTGTTGAGTAAGCAGAATTTGCTGAATGGGTACAAAAATCAAGTTTTGAATTTTTGTGAGCATTATGTGTTTGGTAAACAAATAAGGGTAAAGTTCAGCAAGAAGGCCGAGCACAAGACCAGAGACAAGTTAGATTATATACATTCAGACTTGTGGGGTCCAAACAGAGTTCCCTTCAAAAGTGGTGGCAGGTATTTTGTGACTTTGATTGATGATTACTCAAGGATGGTGTGAGTGTATTTTATGAAAATAAAAGATGAGGCATTTCCGACATTTGTTAAATGGAAGACGATGGTTGCGAGGCAGGAGGAAAGAAAAGTTAAAGCGTCTTCGAACTGACAATGGGTTGAAATTTTGCATTTCTGAGTTCGATAATTTCTACAGCAGGGAGGGCATAGTGAGACACCGCAATTGTGTTGGAACACCATAACAAAATGGTATTGCAAAACATATGAACAGAACGCTTTGTGATAGAGCATAGAGCATGCTTACACACTCATGTGTTAGCAAATATTTTTTGGGGTGAAGCAATCAATACAACTTGTTATTTGGTCAACAGATCTCCATCTATACCTATTGAGTTAAAAACTCCTTTTGAAGTATGGTCCGATTCATCTGCTGATTATTCAAATTTAAGAATTTTTGGTTGTCCTGCTTATGTTCATGCGAGGGATGGAAAACTTGAGTTAAGGGAGTATAAGATATCCAGTGCTAGTTTGAGTCCTAGTTATCCTCTGTCTATCTTGTATACTGATCCCTCGCTTGCTTTACTATCCAATTTATCTAGACATATGCAATGTACAGTATATCTAACTAGCAGACAAAACACTAGTCAGAAAGATATGATGCCTTCAACAACTTCCAGCCTCCAAAATGATAAGTAGGAGTTTACTACGTAGGAATATTTACACAAACAAAAGATCAGGAATACGTAGTTAAAAGATAAGGACATACTCCCTCCCTTTCAATTTATGTGAACCTATTTCCTTTTTAGTCTGTGCCAAAAAGAATGACCTCTTTACTTATTTGAAAACAATTTACTTTTATGCAAAAATTTATAGTCACACAAAATATATGTGCCTCATTTTACACCACAATTTTAAAAGTCTTCTCTCTTTTCTTAAACTCCGTACCCAATCAAATGGGTTCACATAAATTAAAACGGAGGGAGTACAAGTTAAAACCTTCCGTAAAAGGTGATATCAGTCACACACAAAACAAAAGATTATCTACTACAATGGGTTAAAACACCAATAATGTGAAAATACTGTACACAGTCCATGTATTTAATTTAAATACAAATATGATTGATTACCTCCTTTCATTCCAAAATGTACTATTTGCTCCTGCAGCGCACCAACATTTTTGACATTAAATTTGTTGAGAAGGGCAATGCTAGAAATGGTGGATATAGGCTTAGCCACCAAATCATCCATCACAATGTTTTCACCACATCCTTCATAAAAACCACTGTAGCTGCCACAGCTCCCCTCATTCCCTGTGGAGCAACATATCTCAACTTATTTGACATACGGTTCCGACAATGTGGACAGACAGCATTATAATCCTCAGTAACATGCTATTTGGTGCAATTATAAGTAGAGCAGTCTCATCCGACGACGTTTATAATGTTGGAGATCATGGCTGAAGAATCTCTAAAGACAATAAGATGCTTGCGAACAGATACTATATATTACAAGACTGAAGGCAGCTAACAGAGTGAAAAGAAATCTCAAAATAGACAAAGTAAGATTTAGCAACGGATAACTGAACCTATAAACAAAAGGAAGCCGCTAAAAGGACAACTATAAACTGAAACATCCAATTTTATTATGTGTTGTAGCTCATTCTCTGCTTCACACAGCTCTTCTCCGCTTTACACGGCTCATGGAAGCACTTGTGGGAACTGTGCTCATGAAGGCACTTGTGAGAACTGTTTTCGACTCGAAAGATGCCTTCAGCAACTTCAGCGCCTGCAAAATGATAGGAGTTTACTAAGTACAAAGAAAATTTCACCAAACAGAAGAGGACACAGGAAAAGAAGAAGAGATAATTAACTTAATTGATTACCTCTTCCATTCCTAAATTTACTACTTTCTCCTCTAGTACTCCAACATCCTTAACATTAAACTTGTTGAGAAGGGCAATGCTAGAAATGGCGGACATAGGCTTAACCACTAAGTCATCCATAACCATGTATGTCGCCATCTCCTTCACAAACCCCCCTGTAGCTGCGATAGCTTTCTTCACTACCCGTGGAGCAACATATGTTAACCTTCTTGTCATCGTACACCTCCCACAATCTGGACAGACAGCACTAGGGTCATCAGAAACTTTTGCGTGATGCAAAGAGTAGCTACATCCATAAAAATTCCTTTGAGCAACTGAAGAAATTCCAACTGGAGACTTGGGTTTTAGAAGAGCCCTTTGGGTACTCGGAACGTCATTAAGCAATAGAAAAGGAACTGAAGAGATATTCCCAACTGAAGATTTGGGTTATAAAAGGATATCCTTGCATTGGTTCGATTGGACATAGGTATCCTTCAGATTTTCTACGCTTTCGTAGAGGTTAGTCAAGGATCCACTCATTCCTTTCTCCTTAAGAAGCTTAGTTACAGTGCCCACAGGCAATGTGAGAATGTGAAAGAGGAAATCGACAGTCCTTTTCTGCCTCAGCAAATAGAACTTTGCGGGCCTTGGTGTCAATCAACAGCTTCAAGCTTAGTTTGGAATCTGAATTCGTCATTTTGGTTGGCTGATAACTGCTGCAAGTTTTGTTCTTGAGAAGTAGATTTACACCAAACCCCCCCAGCAAATCTCATGTGCTCTGGATGTTGAGGACCTACACTTTGTCAAAACACAAACACAGTGAAGAAAGAGAGCTAAAACAGAAGGAACAAGTTAAGCTCTGTAATGAGATTTCCATAACTTTCTTTGAGTCCCTTTTCAATCCTTTTATATGGGAAAAATTACAGCTAGTGAGTAATTACAAATGCAGCAACTATATGATATATAATTGGAATCCAAATTGTGGTTACAAGAGGCAAGAGTTAGGATAGGTCCTAAAAAAAATGGAAAAATCAAGGAGTTTGCTATGAAATGCACAACATATCTGAAAATAGTCATATTTTAAAACGTGAAGAACTTGAGAGAGTACTACAATAAAGTTCCCATTGCTCACGCACACCAAAGAGAAAGAAAATCGTTTTCTTTGAGTCATTTGGTTGCAGTATGGAACCAAAATAACATTCTAAACTCTTATTACTATACAGATATACTCTGTCAAAACTACATTCTACATCCTTAACCCTTATAGGAGTAAAATACCTTCAAAGTTACATTTTATTACAGGTGACCACTCAACTTTTATTTTAATCAAGCAAAGTCCCGAAACTATTTTTTGTAACCAA